AGGAACCACCAGACTCGCCTGCTGCTCTCCTATTGGCCACGCTGAAACCATGGCCTAAGTGCATCGCGCAAAATTGGAAAAATGACCCTGCGTGTCTGCCGCGGTGAGCTCCATCTTTCGCCGATGCTCCTCACTGAGCTCCACCAGGGGAAAAGCCGCGTCTGCAATGAAATAATGTGTTGGAAAGAGCAGCGCTGCATTTTCATTCATTCGGCGTTCGGTGTGAAAGCAGCTGAAAATTGCGCCGCGCGCCCAGCACGAGCCTTTAACACGGTAAAATCACGCGGGCTCTCGCATCGTAACACTTTAATATGCTGTCTTGTCACAGAACACCGACAGGCTTTATCCTGGTCTGTTTTTACCTGCCAAGTGCTGAAAACAGTGGCTGTGTGTACGGTGAGCCTTGAGGTCTTCGCCATGAAGCAAAGCAAAAGTGGACTGGGGCTGTTTTGTTTTCACATTTGTTTTCAAGCCCCAACGGTGGCTTTAACTGTAAGTACTGGGTTAAAACGTCGAATAGTGAATGATACAAATGTTAAAAAAAGCCAGTGTGGTTTGATGCAAAACTTATACAAACTTTTCGTTCTGTTTTAGGGAGCAAGGAAGCAACAGAAAGAAGCATCTCCAGCTCTAATAAATGAAACAATAAAAAAATAAAATTAAATCAAAGTTTCTCCATCTTTAAAGAACTTTAAAAGAACCTGACAGGAGCGGCGTTTCGTGATGCAGCTGTAAGCGCAGGGACAGCGGTGCTGCGACGCAAACAAGAAATCCACCGTAGAGCAGACCGTCTCATTTCGGTTCAGCCTTCGCAGGTCTACACAGCCCTTGAGGGACACACCTTCATAGACCATGCTCTTTAAAGGATGCAGCCCCTGAATTGGGACACAGCTAATTTTATGTAATTTATCACGATAGCGATAAATATTGTCCTATCACTGAGCCCCACGTGTTGATATTTTGAACACAGCCCAACTCAGGACCCTTAATAACCCCCCCCTAGTGGTTAGAAATTCACGCCGGGGGCACCTTCCTCCGAAGTGCTCTCCAGCCGTAACCACAGTACAGAGCCTGAGTGCTACTCGAGCTGTTGAAGGCGAGGATGGTGTTTGTTCTAGAAGCCCACAGAGCCACAAATGGACACCTCCAGAACACAGATGAGTCTTTGTCTCAGGAAGAAGTCCAGGAGGAGTCCAGGAGTGTGTGTGTTTGAGTGAATGTATGGTTTTTATTTATACCCAGTCCAGTGTAAATTCCTTGTTGTGCATGTGAGCCCGTCGGCAGCCTGTCCTCTGCCAGAACAAACACACCGGCACACGGCTGCTCCTGAAATATGAATAATTCAGCAATAACAGAACCTCCTCTTTACTGCTTCCCTCTCAGATCCATCGCAGTGCAGGTCTGAGCGCTCGCTATTTCTCCTCTACAGACTTTTAACCCTTAGAAGCCTCAGTGCTGACCAAACCGTGCTGTAGCTTCATTCTCGGGTTTCGCGTAACATCACAGTGTATAGTCACCGACATTTTGAGGAGCGAATCAGGGACAGACTGCGCGACGCCTTCAATCTGCTTTGTGAATGATTCACCTGCAAGACGTGACAGAAGTCGAGAGACACACAGACCTTTAATTCAGTGTTTAACTCCAGGTTTGGAGCCGCTGCACTGTATAGTTCAGTGTTTCTCTCTGCTGTTCACCTCGTTCAGCTCAAGAAGGGATTAATTAGCTGATAATATCAGGTATTTTAACCAGGAAACCACAGTTAAGCAGTGCAGGGGTTTCAGGACTGGAGCTGAACTCTGAACTAACTGAACTAGCAAACTTACAGAATCACGTCTGTCGAAACACGACGTCGTTTTCCGACCCACGACGTTCAGTCTGATATTTAACGTTTATGTTTCTCCATTCAAACGTCATTTAAATCAGAAACAGAGAGTGAAGTTATACCGGCGGTCTGCAGCTCCGTTAGGGGGCGACTGTTTATCTCTCGGCTGTTAACATCAGTTAAAGTTATCTAAAGGCCTGCATTGATCACATCTGTGTTAATTAGCTGATGTTGTTACCCTCCTATGATGACGGAGTGTTTCTCCTCTTTATGCAACACCATGGGATCCTTTACCCACCCTGACATGAAGAGCCGGTGGGCTTCTGCGCTTCTATGCTCCGAGAGACTCTCCAGAACAGGAAGAGGGGCTGAGTATGAGATCAATATAAATGTCAGGAAAATTTGGTAGCTTTCCGCCAGTTTAAGTGGGACCAGAAGTTCAGGGGAGACTGTATAAGGATCACAGCCTGTTTTATCGACTCTGTCGAGGTGATGTTTTTCTCTTCCAAAGTAAGGAGAGGAATTTTAGCCATCTTTCACCTCAAGTTACGTTCGACAGAAATTCGGTCCCGAATATGGCGGCCACAACAGAAAAATCACCCGACTGAAACCCTAGGATAGGAATTATTTCTCGCAGCTCACTAAAACGAGTGGAGAAACTCTGTGGAAAGTGCAGATTGCAAACTTTCAGTCCAAACCACATTTGTGTTTGTGAGCAGAAAGAAATATTTTATTTCTGAATGTGATGAAAAGTTATTATTGCGAATACATTCTTGTTTTGCCTTGAAGAAGAAACGTTATTTAAATTTTGGCCAAGTTTTTGTTCCCTTTTGACACCAAAACAAACAGATTCTGAGGTGCAGAACTGAACCGAATGAGAACCGAATAAATAAGATGTAATTACACACTTACACAACATCCAACTACTAACAGCACTAACTCTTCACCTCTCAAAGCTGAAAGGTCCTGACCTACCTGCTCTCCCTTCATTGACTCCCATGACCTCGCTGACCCAAATAAACTCTCTTTCTGTCAGACACTGTTTGCTTTTCCGCTAAATAAAAAGCGAACTTCTGAGGTCAGTCTGCTTCGTCACTGGATGAGCGCCGGCTTCAAAGCAGAGCCAGGATTCTTTCCTTGAAGGAAAGTGAAGAGAGATTTCCTGAAGCATGAATCACACACAAAAACAAACCGCGAGCTGAGAGAGAGCTTTCCTGTCCTTTTCTGTCTGTAATACTGTAATGCAGGAGCAAAAAGCCCTTATTTCTGCTTTATTCTCCTGGGTATATTTCAGTTAGTCCATCTGAATTTACATGCATAAATCTTAAGGCAAATTATTCAGTAACTGCATGAAATAAATGTAAAGTGTTGTTTTTTTTGTTTTATAAGTTCTGTGTGTTTGTGTAGGTTTATGTGTGAGTGGGTGTGTAATCTAACTTTGGCTGAACTGACTTTAATCTAACTTTAGTTGAACTGACTTTAACTTTAGCTAATCTAACTGTGACTAATCTCACTTCAGTTTATCTGACTCTAATCTGACCCCTCAAATTAACAGAACATGTGTTTTATGATCACACATATTGCTATATGCTTACAATTTACTGCTGAAAGCCAAAAATCTTAGACGCTCTTTGTATTTTTTTATAAAGATAATGTTTACAGAGCAGATCACTGAAGAGACGCCATCTGTTTATAGTTTATAGCCCAGATTTGTGGAAAAATGGGTCGACTTTCAGTAGGAAAAAAAAAATTGTGAGTTCAGCTTCTTTTATTATAAGGGTTTAAATTACATCACCCATCTATTTGACTGGAAAGAAGACAGTTACAGCTCTCATATGACCCCCACCTTTAGAATGTGGCTTATGAAATATGAAAGTTATGAAGAATATGACAAAGTGTGGTTTGGAACCACTGGTGGTCTCAAGGAGTTGAAAAGGTTAAACTAATTTTTCTTTAAACTAAGCTGCAAATAAATCTTAAACTGAAACTTTGCTTGGTTATTTCAGAGCCACTCAGTTCTACCTGATGGAAACTGTTCACCTTCAGTGTTTTGTGCTTATGATAATTTTAATAGACATCAGCGTCACTAATTAATGACTCTATTAAAAGACTGGTTTACCAAGAGAGACACTGGAGTATTTTCACCTAAAATGAGTTAATGAAGCGAGTCTTGTTATAAAAATGATAATAGGACATCAGAGCCATAATTAATCTTTTAGTACTTTTACTTTTGATACTTAAGTACATTTGAAGGCAAATACTTTAGTACTTCTACTCAAGTGGAGGTCTAAAGGGAGGAACTTCTACTTTTACTGCAGTAATATTTTACCTTGGGTGTCTCTACTTTAACTCAAGTACAATAGAATCGCTTTACCCTAACTTTTTTCCTGTAAAGTGGTTTAAACACTTGAAAGGTCTGAGAGATGATGGGTGCTGATATCACAACAAAGGGAGAAAACTGGTGTTTTTCAATCTTTGAGAAAACAAAACAAGTAAACAAGTGAAATGAAGTAGTGAAGCAATAACGAAGATTCTGCACTCTTTCTAGGTCACTTTCTAATCAAATGTGTGACGCTGACCATGTTACGGCCTGTAAAGGTCAGATTCTTTTAAGTCTTATTCTTCCTTTGAAGCTCAAAGTCAGACGACTCTCAGGTGGATCTGATCTACTGATCAGAGGCTTCAGTACAAACGTATGGAGTTCATGCAGCTTGAGGAGCGCACGCTGCACTCTTAAAAAACATGGTTCTTCAAGGGTCCTTTAGTGAGAGAATGGTTCTATATAGACCCATGAACACTCAAAGAACTCTTTGCAAGATTGAAGGGTTCTTCGCATCATGAAAAGGTTCTTCAGATTGGTAGAGAATGTGCTGTAGATGGTTCTATATAGAACCTTTTTGAAAAGGGTTCTATATAGCACCAAAAAAGGGGTTCCACCATTGTTACAAGCCAAAGAATCCTTATTTGGTACTATCTAGAACCCTTTTTGCTAAGAGTGTGTCACTGAAGCAACAGCAGGACACACCACCAAATCTTAAGAAATTCTGAAATTCTACTTTTCACTCAAATTGTTATGAGGATCATGCCTAACAATTAGGTGTGTGTGTGTGTGTGTGTGTGTGTGTGTGTGTGTGTGTGTGTGTGTGTGTGTGTGAATTACGTGAGTGTTCTTTCTCACCTCCGTTAGTGGTATGACTTCGTTAGAGTACGTGGGCCGCGTGTACACGAACACGGGCCGAGCGGTTCCGTTCCCGACAGACGCCAGCCTCATCCCCTCTCTGACCCGGTTCCTCACGAACTGCCTCCTGCTGGTCTGGTCCTTCAGTATCCGGCTCATGTAGATGGAGGGATAGAGAGCCGTGCTCTCCGTCCACAGCCACATCAGCTGGTCGTTGCGGGTCACCTCCACGTCCGGGCAGCGGCCCGTGTAGTTGTCCTGGCTGTTGTGGTAGTTGTGGTTGTAGCAGTCGGGGAACAGGTAAAAACCCCAGAGCTGCTGAGGACGAAGACTCTTCGCCTGACGCAGCGTCTCGGACATGAACCTGCAGGGAGGAGATCGCTTTCATGAAAACGTAACAGTGCGGAGTCCCGTAAGGGTGATATTGATGTTTTAAAAACACACTGATCTAGTGAGTGTGGATGCACAGCTGTACGTCTGATATACGCCTCACTCTCTTCAGAACGTCTCTCATTTATCATCTTCTGTGAAAAATCACTTTCACTGATCAAAACTAAGCACCTGGGTGCAGCCTATCAGAGTAAAGGGGGAGACCGAGGGGACGTGGCTTATGCCACGGACACACCCACTATGGCTTTTTTTCCTGAAGCACTTAATAAATTCTAGGGGTTGTGATTTTTTCAAAACGTTGCATTTGGTGTGGTCTGGTAATTCTTGGTAGTTCATTGTACGGTTAATAGTTTCTGTAGTTCTTCGTTTGGTTTGCTGGGGTTTAGTAAATTTGAGTTCTTGGGATGGTTCGGTAGTTCTTGTTGTAGTACGGTAGCTTCTGGTACGTTATGGTAATTCTAAGTATGGTTTGGTAATTCTTGGTATGGTTTGGCAGTTCTTGGTAAATCTGATGGTTCTTGGTATGGTTTGGTAGTTCTTGGTAAATCTGATGGTTCTTGGTATGGTTTGGCAGTTCTTGGTAAATCTGATGGTTCTTGGTATGGTTTGGTAGTTTTTGGTAAATCTGATGGTTCTTGGTATGATTTGGCAGTTCTTGGTAAATCTGATGGTTCTTGGTATGGTTTGGTAGTTTTTGGTAAATCTGATAGTTCTTGGTATGGTTTGATAGTTTTTGGTAAATCTGATGGTTCTTGGTATGGTTTGGTAGTTTTTGGTAAATCTGATAGTTCTTGGTAAATCTGATAGTTCTTGGTATGGTTTGATAGTTCTTGGTATGGTTTGGTAGTTCTTGGTAAATCTGATAGTTCTTGGTATGGTTTGATAGTTTTTGGTTAACCTGATAGTTCTTGGTAAATCTGATGGTTCTTGGTATGGTTTGGTAGTTTTTGGTAAATCTGATGGTTCTTGGTAAATCTGATAGTTCTTGGTATGGTTTGATAGTTCTTGGTATGGTTTGGTAGTTCTTGGTAAATCTGATAGTTCTTGGTATGGTTTGGTAGGCCTTGGTATGGTTTGGTAGTTCTTGGTAAATCTGATGGTTCTTGGTATGGTTTGGTAGTTCTTGGTAAATCTGATGGTTCTTGGTATGGTTTAGTAGTTCTTGGTAAATCTGATGGTTCTTGGTATGGTTTGGTAGTTCTTGGTAAATCTGATGGTTCTTGGTATGGTTTGGTAGTTCTTGGTAAATCTGATGGTTCTTGGTATGGTTTGGTAGTTTTTGGTTAACCTGATGGTTCTTGGTATGGTTTGGTAGTTTTTGGTTAACCTGATGGTTCTTGGTATGGTTTGGTAGTTCTTGGTAAATCTGATAGTTCTTGGTATGGTTTGGTAGTTCTTGGTAAATCTGATAGTTCTTGGTAAATCTGATAGTTCTTGGTATGGTTTGGTAGTTCTTGGTAAATCTGATGGTTCTTGGTAAAGGGGGGGGGGTCTGATAGTTCTTGGTAAAGGGGGGGGGGTCTGATGGTTCTTGGTATGGTTTGGCAGTTCTTGATAAATCTGATGGTTCTTGGTATGGTTTGGTAGTTTTTGGTAAATCTGATAGTTCTTGGTATGGTTTGATAGTTTTTGGTTAACCTGATAGTTCTTGGTAAATCTGATAGTTCTTGGTATGGTTTGGTAGGCCTTGCTGTAGGTTTGATACATTTCCTGTTTATAGGCTATACATCACTCCTTGTTAATAAAATTTGTAGTATGGATTGGTCTGTTTTGTTAAAGTCTTGTTGTGTTTACAGGCTATAAATCACTTCAAGTTAATAATACTAAAATGTCTAAAGCTTTAATATGGAAACGAGCCTAAAGGTTACTGTTGTGTCTTTTTTTTGTTATTAATGACGTAATCATTATGATGATGTAATTCAGACTTAAAGCCACTGTTCATCAGAAGTCTGCTGCTCGGCTTAATCAGTTTAATAAACACAATAACAAAAAAGATCTACCTGCAACAGAATGTTCTAAAGCGTATCAGGGCTGATTCAGGACATGGACTAATATTATACATTAAAATAAAAAAGAAAACATTGAAAAAACAACTATATGACTTTTGTCCATCTCAAGGCTACAGATGGCACTTTTTTCAGACATTTAAATTGTCCAACCTGACTGACAGTCATGAAATACGGAAACTATTGTACTGAACAATGCTACTATGACTCAGCTCAAACCTAGCAGTCTGCATGATGCTAATAGGTGGGATATAACGTTCCATTACTCTAAGAGCTACATTAGAGCTACATTAGAGCTACATTGAGCTACATTAGCCCCAGTGCAAAGCCAAAGAAGCAGACACCGAAAAATGTCTTGACTTATCAGCTCCACTTGGGGTTCACTCTCAGAAATAAAGGTAGTAAACTGTCACTGGGGCGGTTCCCCTCTTGTCACTGGGGTGGAACCCTCAAGGGTCCATCTCAGTACCTTTAGTCAGGGAACATAACTGAACCATAATCCACTGAAATGATATGTTCTAAGCTGTACTGACTCCACACACCCCGTCTCGTCTCCAGGCTTTTATTTTACTGTTCTGTTTTAAAACATTCGGTTATGAAAAGATACAAATACGAACTTTTCACCTGGAAAAACTTATTTAAGGTTCACAATCAGACCTTAAAACCACTGTTGTACCTTTGAGGGAACATTTACACTGTTTGTACCTTGATGAATGAAACATGTACCTGCACAGAACCTTTATTTCTAATAGTATAAGAGGAAAAGCTGGTTCAACTTGAATTTTTAGCTGAACAGTCGCTGGTGTTTAAATTAAAAACTAAAAATACGCAAATGCATTTTATGCTAAAGTAAAAAAGTCTATAAAAGTTGTCTGAACTCGTTTTGATGGAATGAAACTGTAATATAGTAAAATTAATTTATTTTTGGGTAACTGTAAAAATCACCCAGCCTCACCTGCGGGCGGACAGCTCGAACTCCTGCTGCGCCACTTTGGCCACGTGATCTGGCGTCCAGCTGGGGTTTTTCTCTGAGGTCAGCTGTCGGGATTTGTTCCTGTAGATGTTTTTGGCGTCCCAGTTCCGGATCCAGAGGGGTCTCCACTCCTCCCAGTCCAGGACAGCCAGCCCCTTCGCACTCCTCTCTCTGATGTACTTCTCGATGCCTTTTGGCATTTTGTCCAGGTGCTCTGCGAGGCTGGCCAACTGCGGCAGGCCGCCGTTCACAGGCGTCCCGTCCTGTTTGTAATACGGGTACAGACCCAGGCGGTCCTTGTAGAAGATGGTCAGGTTCTGTCTGACGAAGCCTTCGTTCGGAGACGCCACGATCTGGAACTGGTCCAGCTGTAAGCGGACGCCATACCGCGGGGTGCAATCTTCGGTGGGAGCGTTCCAGGCCAGCAGAAAAGGCTTCTGGGAATAGAGCGGCCACCTGGTGGACCTGAGCTCCTGAGCGTGTGGGCTGGACCACAGAGCGGTCAGACAGAGCAGCCGCATGAAGAGTGAGAGAGACGGAGGGACAGGACCCATTTCTCACACAGGCCACCTCCACGTCCTGTAAACACACACAAACATAAAGAGGTTTAATTCGCTAGGTCAGGACGCAGAGTCATAAATATGGATTATATATGTAATATATATATATATATATATATATATATATTATAAATAAAATAACATATATAAAAACATACGTCTCATGTATTACATGTATAAAATCGTTGTTGAAACAAAACCTCATATCTCCAAAATTGTAACTTCACAGGAGATAAAATATTCTTTTAATGTAAGTTAATGGAACAATTTTTCCCCCATTTATTCTGGAGCATTTCTACAACTCTGTTCATCCTGGAATTTCAACACATTTTTAACTGCAGCTGGTTTTGTCAAATTCTGTATTTTAAAAAAAAATAATAATAAAAACAACAAAAATGGAGACAGAAAGCTTTCTGAGAGCAGCCATATGTCTTTATATCTATAACATGTATATCACACATTATATCTAATAATATGTCCCATATGGTTTACATATGTATGTTTACCTACACACACACACACACACACACACACACCACACACACACACACACACACACCACACACACACACACACACACACACACACACACACACACACACACACACACCACACACACCCACAAACACACGCACACACACCCACACACCACACAGACACACACACACACACACACAAACACACGCACACACACCCACACACCACACAGACACACACACACACACACACACACACACACAACACACACACACACACACACACACACACACACACACACACACACACACACACACACCACACACACACACACACACACACACACACACACCACACACACACACCACACACACCACACACACACACACACACACACACACACACACACCACACACACACACACACACACACACACACACACACACACACAGACACCACACAGACACCACACACACACACACACACAGACACCACACAGACACCACACACACACACACACACAGACACCACACAGACACCACACACACACACACACACACACCACACACACACACACACACACCACACACACACACACACACACACACACACCACACACACACACACACCACACACACACACACACACACACAGACACCACACACACACACACACACAGACACCACACACACACACACAGACACCACACACACACACACAGACACCACACACACACACACCACACCATCTGCATTTACTGTAGACTCACATATCAGATTTCAGAGGCTGCAGCTCAGATTTCTACTATAAAGATTTTATATTGATTCATATGTTTCATATTTCGCTGTTGCTGGAATAAAACATCGTATCTCCAAAATGGTAACTTGTTAAGCAGTACATCCACTAGAGGGCAGACCAGAGTAAAACGTTTCTGACAACAAACTATGTACCAACTACGAAAGAGACGAAAGAGGCAGCGTTGTAGACTGTGGTCTCTGTGAGGTCAGAGAATTCTTTTCACTTATATTACCACTGAGAGAAACTGTCTTCATGTCTTGCATGAATTATTACCTACACTGCCCCCTCACGGCTTCCGGTGGTCCCGCGTTTCGTCCGTATCTGTAAGCTATCCATAACAGTCCTCGGGACGAGTGAATTCAGCTGTACCAGTGTTCACACAGCTCGTGTAATCACTATAGAAAAGCACTGACCAATAGAATGGAGCTCTGGAGAACCCACATATGAGCCTGAGGTCACTAGGTCCAGTGCCCAGCGTGGGCTAGAGGGGTATAAAGCCCCCCAGCATTGGGCTGTGGAGCAGTGGAACTGCATCCTGGAGTGATGGAGCTCCATCCAGTACATTTGGGATGAGTTGGAGATACAGAACTGACCATCCAACATCAGTACCTGACCTCACTAATGCTCAATCAAATCCTCACAGCAATGTTCAACATCTAGAAGCCTTCCCAGAAGAGTAGAGGCTGTTACTGCAGCGCAAACTCACTATTAACACCATTCATTTCAGAAGAAACTCTGGAGGATCAGGAGAGTTTTAGACACACAGTACTGTGCAGAAGTCAGAGACCCCCCTTCATTTATTTAATATCCAGTCCAAAAAGGCCATTAAGCACAAGTTCTGGAGGAGATTAGATATAAGATAATCCACTTGCGTAAGGAAGGAGAGAAATAAGTGAAACTGGAGTTCAAAAACTGATTAAAAGCTACAAAGAAAACGAGACTCCTAACAACCACCTGGAAGACCTGGTCGACCCCAAAACTGCCCCCATCAGATAAACAGCACTTAAAGCTTTCATCTTTGAGAGAGAGGAGAAAATCAAGCTGCTTCAGATCTGAAAACATCCACAGGTGTTTCTGTCCATCCTTCCACTGTGAGAAGACGACTCAGCGCTGTGGGTCTGAAAGGATGTGTAGCTGTTCAAGAAGAACCTCACTGAGAAAAGGAGACGGACACATCAAACAAAGAAGCTGAACGACGGACCGACCACCCCAGAGTCCAGACCTCAACACCATCTGTATTATATTTAGCTGTTGAGGCCTTTGTGTCATTTGCTCTTTTGTTTTCTGCCACTGAGAAATGAGGAACTTGTACTTAGAGGCTGTTTTAATTGGATATTAAATAAACGAAAGGGTGGTCTCTCTTCACTGTATACACAATATACATTCCTGCTAATGTACAACTGAACTCTGGTACTGATTAAAAACACACACAGCGCTCAGCACGTCTTCACAGGTGGGTGTGCACATCTACAGCCCACACATTCCTGCTGTCGGGATGCATTAGCATTACTGTACCACACAGCACCCGGGGGGGGGGCATCAGAGGATGTTTTAGAGGAAACAGATGACCCTCAAGAGCCTGTGCGAGAACTCTGCTGACACACTGCCAGCTTAGCCCTGAACGTGCAGGACACTGCGACCCGTTTCTGACCACATCTACAAATGAACAAAGGATTCATGCCCAGATTAAACAGACTGTACTCAGAAACTTGGTTTAAAGTGACAGTCTGGCAAAAAATCAAATTTGCACAATGTCTTCCCCTCCGCCAAATGTAGATGCAGCCAAGATATCTTTAGTGTGCGATGCTGACTTCTTCAGTTGTGCACTAAATAACTACGCTGTTAGCTAGCTACATCAGCTATCACTGTGGGAACCGAACGTCTGCCTACAACAGTGTTGAGTTGTTAAAGAAAGAAGACCGGCTGTTCGCAACTCAATCATTAACGCTGTCATTCAGAGTGGTTTGGTGTGAAATGGTTCGGATGTCTTTACAGTGTTGGTGATAGGAACCAGGGGTCGCCATGACTACAACACAAATAGACATTTTATTTACTACCCAAAACCACCAGCGAAACTTCTGAGCTTTTACATTGAACACTGATGATGATAAAATAGTCATAAACCTGAAAAAATAAACGTTTTCTCTGGGGAACACTTCGCATCCACCTCGTCGCCATTAACGAGTTTAAAAAATTTAGGCCTTCTTAACTTGTTCACATCTGGAAGCATCTTCACCAACATTTCATGTATTAACATCATCTGAGGGAACTTCGAGGCATTAAGCTCTTCAGACGTCTGGTTCCTATCACCACCACACGTGAACACGCTTGGTGAGTCTATCTAGAATGGTGCATTTCACATCAGACCACTCTGAATGGCTCTGTCTACATCTTAATGATTTCATTCTGAGGATATTTGGGTGGAATTCCCCTAAAGCAATCTCAAACGGACCTGATTAAGTGGTTTCTGGCACTGTGTGACACGCTGTTATCTATCAACATGAGCTAAAAGCTCATGCAAAGCTGGAAACAGAAGCGGCCTGAACTCTGTTTGAATACTGAGTCCAGGTTTATAGATAACAGTGAGTCATACAGTGTCAGAAACCACACAATCAAGTCTATCAGAGATTTCAAGGCAGGTGTGTTATGACTTTGGCACTGTGCTAACTGGTGCATTCATTATGTGTGAGCCACATTAGCCTTGTAGCTCAGCACAATACTATAGTAAAGACGCCAGATGTGTCTTGACTGCATTTGGGGTGGGTGAATACGATATTTCACCAAACTATTCTGTTAATGATGGAGGAGGCTGCAGGTTTTTTGGGGCTTTTTCCTGCGTTACCACACCTGATTCACCTCGTCAGGTATCTGTATGAGTCATTTGTGTGAGCTTATTATAAGAGGATAGTGGCCCCTGCGAAAAAATAAGGTTTTGTTAGACATTCTCATTCAACCACTTCCTGCAGTTTCTCAAATTCATTGAAATATTTCGCATGCAGTGACACGCATGCGGCAGCGCTCAGGAAACTGCAAGGAATTAAAATATTTTCAACATATGCAGTGTGATAGAAGTGTGTCACTGGGTTATGTAAATGGGCGAGTGTGAACTTTCCTGGCACGGCTGGGCTTTGCTTGCATTTGCTAAGACAGGTAGAAGAACAAAAACCTAATAAATGTGAGTTTTCTGTTTGTTTTTTTGTTTAATCTTTTGTTGTGTTAGGTGTCCATGTTAATACTGTGTATATACTCCATGTGTGCACAAAATAATTTATGCATGCATGCGCCTAAAGCAAATATACAGAGTAAAAAACAAATAAAAAAGAAAATAAACCATCTAAACCCAACCTAAATGGCACTAGATGAGTTGGGCAGCTCATTTTCGTCCATTTTTCCAGATACAGCAGCTGTGTAATCCAAGATAAAGTGTTATTGTTAACTAGAAGAGCACTGTTGGCTACTTTTATGGAAGAAAATGTCAATGTTTTTCCAAATTTCTCTGTGGACCTCACTTCTGCAGTGCACTGTTTGCAGGATTTTTATATTTACCCTTTTTTGACCTGTACAGTGGCCACTGAGCCTGTCCTTGGTCAGCTTGGTCAGACTCTGCTTCTGCTTCCTATCTACGAAGGTTAAAATACAACCTGCTGATTAATATTCATTACTTAGAGGTTTACAGCAGTAAATCCATCTAGTGCATGTTTCCATGCCGTTTAGTACTTTTCTGTAACTCCACAGATCAACTAAACTGATTCCAGCTTCTTTTTCGCCAGCTTCTTCCTCGAATTTTCCCGTTCCACCTTAAATCGCGCAGCAGTCATTATAACGCCTCAGGCGCCAGAACGTTACAGCTGCACGATTTAAGGTGGAACGGGAAAATTCGAACAAGAAGCTGGCGAACAAGACTTCAGCTTCGTCACAGATCAGCTGTGAGGACGAGGAACTTTGCTCAAGTTCCTCTAACAGCACACAGCTCTCAAAAATCAGACTTTAGCGAAATTAGCTGCCATTTCACAAATAAAAAGTGAAAAACTGACCCCAAGAAGACGTTGAGCGTCCCGCCTCAGGAGACCGGCTTATTCCACTCGGATCTTTCACAAACTAAACCGAAGCAGACTCGCTCCATCACTGCCGAAGTCACTTTTCATAAACTTAAGAGGCACCTGGGTTGAATTTAAACTAAAATTAGACGTTTTTGAGCTGCACTTTTCGTATATTTGGACTTTTTCCCCCTCACGAAATGTCCACAACCCCCTGCTCGAGCAACGTTTCACTCGCTGAGTGAATGTGCTGAGGATTCGGCCTCGGATCGGTCCATTATTTAGTGAAGGAGGGGGGACCTGTTTGACAAACAAAATATTAACTACTTACTAAAACAGGGAACACACAGTTAAACTCTGTAAATATTAATATTACTTTGGATAATCAGCTACTATGCATTTCAGTCCTTAGTTATATTGTCAGCGCTACAATAAAGCAGCGGACATATTTCTGTGACACCCCTATTTTACTCCTTCCACTCGAGTGGTTGGGTCAGTTGATTTCTCTGCTGGGGAGAAGACGGTGAGCAACAGAAGCTCACAGCTGGATCAGGTTTCAGCACGAATTCAAGATGTTTTTGTGTTTGTCACAAATTCATTTCTTCCCTCGTCGCTTTTCCCCTTTCTGTTGCAACATCTGACAAAAAGTAGTAGAGACTGTTGAGACGTTTCTCAAAAACAAGCATAACACAAAGATTATATGCGGTTCTCTAGTAAAGGGAATGGCTCTGTTTAGAACCACGAGTTCTGTAAAAACCATTTCATGCTCAAATGGTTCTTTGCAAGGTGAAATGGTTCTTCAGATTGAAGGAGAACGTGCTGTATATGAAAATGGTTCTATATAGCACCAAAAGCGTTCCTCTATTCTACAAGTTTGACATCGTAACAATAGAAGAACCCTTTTTTGGGTTTAAACAGAACAATGTTTATAGGTGTTTATATATAATGTTTATTATGTAGAACCATGTACAAATATGATGGAGAGTGTGTTGTATATGGTTCTGTGCAGAACTATATTGAAAATGGTTCTATATGGCACCAAAGAGGGTTCTTCTATTGTTACGAGGCCAAGCTTGTATAGAATAGAACCCTTTTCACAAAGGTGCTATTCAGAACCATATGCAACACATATACACACACACACACATGTGCTGGAGCCTATCCCAGCAGTCATTGGCCGGAAGACAGGAAACACCCTGGACAGGCCGCCTGTCCATCGCAGGGCACTATATGCAACACATTCTCCATCAATTTGAAGAACCATTTCCCCAGAACCTTTTAAGCCTGAAATGGTCCTACACACTTAAACATGGTTCTTCAAGGGTTCTTTAGTAAAGAAAATAGTTCTATATAGAACCATGAACACTCAAAGAACCTTTTGCATGATTAAAGGGTTCTTTGTATTGTCAAAGGGTTCTTCAGACTGATGGGGAATGTGCTGGTGGTTCTATACAGAATCTTTTTGAACAGGTTGCTATATGGCACCAAAAAGGGTTGCTCTATTGGTACAAGCTTGATGTCATAACAATAGAAGAACCTTTTTTGGTGTTATGTAGAACCCTTTTCAAAAAGGTGCTATATAGAACCACATACGATACATTCTCCATCAATCTGAAGAACGCTTTCACCATGCAAAGAACCCTTTAAGCATGCACATGGTTCTTTGAATGTTCATGGTTCGATATAGAACCATTACCTTTACTAAAGAACCCTTAAAGAACCATCTTTTTAAGAGTGTAGTTCCAAAGCTGTTTCACAATAGATTAACTAACACCGCTGCTTTGCCTCAATGCCACAATTATCAGCCTGTTATAAAGGTTATTATCCAGTTATAAACCAGGTGAAGGGGAATTCCACCCATTTTTCAAAATTTCTACATAATTCAAACTTTAACATGTAGACAAAGTCGTTCAGAGTGGTTTGACATGAAATGCTTTGTCCTAGGGAAACTTCCCAACCCAGAACTTTTTACAGTGTTGGTGATAGGAACCAGACATCACAATGACTACAACACAAATATAGACATTTTATTTACTATCTAAAACCACCAGTGAACCTACACGAGTCTTCTGAGTTTATATGGTACGTTGATCATGGAAATATAATGGTAATTCTAAAGAAATAACTTTTTTTTGGGACTATTTTGCCTCAGAGCGCCCTGCATGTATCCCTCCTCCATGAATAGATAAAAATAAATGGATTAAAATACATTTCAGACCACAAAACTATCATAAAACAGTGTCTCAGCCATCAGGTAGTGAATTCATAACCATGTCATGTAGTAACTTTCTGTGAGGGGGCTTTTAGAGGTGGACATCTGGTTCCTATCACCACCACTGTGAACAATTCTGACCCACTCTCTTTACATTTGAACCGTTTATTTATGCAGAAATTTAGAAAAATTAGTGGAATTCCCCTTCAAGTACCTATTCGTTATTGAAAAAAGAAATTGCTGCTCTGCCTGGCAGACACATATAAGCCTCTATAGAGGAATCATATCCTGAAAATATCTGGATCAAACTGCTTTCTTTGCTTTCTGCACTCTTAGAAGAACAGAAAGTGTGGCTGAAATGTGAAGCGCGTGCAAGGCACCCTTTCCTTGTGGTCACTGGTGAGAAACCACAAGCGGTTATTAACAAGAAGCTGAGAAATTTCCCCAGTTGTGACGTAGATTCTGGGTTTTTATTTAGAATACACCCACTATGTGTGAGAAATTTGCATATCCTCGCTTCTAATGAATGAATACCATCCACTCATGCAGTGAAGAGCTTGAGACAGCAGGAGAAACAAGTGCCAGTCCTTTGTTTACAGCAATGACGCTGCGTTTGTTCTGTGGTAAAGTGAAGCAAGAGAGAGACAGAGAGCATTTCTCAATTTCATACAAATGAGAAGCGGGTTTGCTGGGCAGCAGCCAATTAGATCGTTGAAGTGTGCTGCAGTGTGTTTTGTCATGCATCACAATTCAAACTGAAATGTGTGCTGTGAAGATGGAGGAGAAATCAGAGAGACTTTTACTTTGGTTTTCATTTTTCACAACTATATTCCAGTTTTTCCTAAACACAGAGCTGTGCCTGGAAAGTAGGGCACCGATCATGATTTTTATGGTTTCTTTGGATCCCGATTTCTTTGTAAATTAGCTGATGGATGATTTTTTTGGCCGATTTTTTTAGCCTGTTTTTCTCAGCTAACGCTTTGTGGGCTAAATAAACACATTTATACATTTCCAGCACTTTTATTAATGTAATCAACATGATTTGCTCTTTAATGGGCCAAAACTGGCATTAATGTTTCAGTATTAAGGAGAAATCTTTAGATAGCGAGAATAAACAGGAAAATCAGTCACAGGCAGACAGTTAGGTGAACGATGAGAACTGTTCATGATTAACAGCGGACACTGAGTGCATTTACATGCACCCTATAATCCAGTCATAATCAGATTTCTGCAGTTTTCTGATTATTCTTTGTGTAAACAGCATAATCTGATTTCTTAGATCTGATTAAGGCCTAGAAAGCTGATAAAGAAATCTGATAAAGAGAGCTGGATGTGAGCTCAGTAATGGGGTTTTTCAGTGCATGTGAACTCTTACTCTGATTTCTTTCGTTTCTCTCAGCCTGAAAACAGAGCGCTGTCCTGGTAACAGCAAGCAGCGTTTAGCACAGAACCCACAAAACGCCTACAAAACGCTTTTGGAGCGAAGCTGAAACCGACCACACACTCGACGAAATAAAGGATTTGAATATTCTTCATCTTCTAGATGATGTATGTTCATATTTTCAGGTAAAGCAGCGCGATGTTAAAAAAAGCCACAGCATAAAGTTTGCGCCACCCCTTCTTCTGTGAGTTTATTGGCTGGTTGCAAAGCAGAAATCCGATTACTGCCTGACTACTGCCTGTAAACCTGGAGTATCCCCATTATCTGATTACCCAAGAGCATGAAAACACACCGAACCAGTTACTGACACAATCTGATTTTCTGCAGTTATCAGATTAATACATGCATGTAAACACACTGAACCAGTTACTGACACAATCTGATTTTCTGCAGTTATCAGATTATTAAGTGTAAACGCACTGAACCAGTTACTGACACAATCTGATTTTCTGCAGTTATCAGATTATTAAGTGTAAACACACTGAGCCAGTTACTGACACAATCTGATTTTCTGCAGTTATCAGATTATTAAGTGTAAACACACTGAGCCAGTTACTGACACAATCTGATTTTCTGCAGTTATCAGATTATTAAGTGTAAACACACTGAACCAGTTACTGACACAATCTGATTTTCTGCAGTTATCAGATTAATACATGCATGTAAACACACTGAACCAGTTACTGACACAATCTGATTTTCTGCAGTTATCAGATTATTAAGTGTAAACGCACTGAACCAGTTACTGACACAATCTGATTTTCTGCAGTTATCAGATTATTAAGTGTAAACACACTGAGCCAGTTACTGACACAATCTGATTTTCTGCAGTAATCAGATTATTACATGCATGTGAACACACTGAGCCAGTTACTGACACAATCTGATTTTCTGCAGTTATCAGATTATTAAGTGTAAACGCACTGAACCAGTTACTGACACAATCTGATTTTCTGCAGTTATCAGATTACTCAGTGTAAACACACTGAACCAGTTACTGACACAATCCGATTTTCTGCAGTTATCAGATTATTACCTGCATGTAAACACACTGAACCAGTTACTGACACAATCTGATTTTCTGCAGTTATCAGATTATTAAGTGTAAACGCACTGAACCAGTTACTGACACAATCTGATTTTCTGCAGTTATCAGATTATTAAGTGTAAACACACTGAGCCAGTTACTGACACAATCTGATTTTCTGCAGTTATCAGATTATTACATGCATGTGAACACACTGAACCAGTTACTGACACAATCTGATTTTCTGCAGTTATCAGATTATTAAGTGTAAACACACTGAACCAGTTACTGACACAATCTGATTTTCTGCAGTTATCAGATTATTACATGCAAACGCACTGAACCAGTTACTGACACAATCTGATTTTCTGCAGTTATCAGATTATTAAGTGTAAACGCACTGAGCCAGTTACTGACACGATCTGATTTTCTGCAGTTATCAGATTATTAACTACATGTAAACACACTCACTGACTGATGACTGACTTTTGCAGTCTACCTCTTTATGTCTAGACCTCTTGTGCTTTGGTTACCCAGTGAAGGCAGTTTCGAGACCTCCAGAACATTAGCAGGG